GACATTATAGAAAACACGTTAATCAGACTCGACTCTCAATTCAGGATGACGTGGTCATATTTCTTTAAAAGAATCTAGTGGGATTTTTAACACTCCCATCTTGATGATATGATGCCAGAGCTGCCAAAGTTGGCTTATAGTTCTGCAAAAATTCATGATGGTAAGTGTTCTTTATTCAATTCCTTTCAAGATTGAAAAAGAATGTGTTTCCAGCTTCAACATTTGATTGTTCCTCTGTAGGCAAAACCCTTTGTGCAGATTGTGATAGCTGGTGTGCAAGTCATTGCACGTGCATTTGGTCGAGCTTTGAGAGAGGAATTTTCAAGTGAGTGTTTGTATTTCATCATCTTTGCGTAAATTATGTAAATTTATCTTGAATGGGAGAATCACTACTTGTTTGATTTGTCAGCAGAGCTTTTGTAATGCAATACTATCAATAGTTTTATACCAAATTGCAGAGTGGTGTTTGAAAAATCAAAAAGCCCATTGAACTATGAGAATCTAAAACTAGTGTTGATAGTGTTATGAATGCACCTTGGGAATCTTAGTGTGAATATGAAGAGCTGATATATTAGCAGCTTGGGATTTAAAGGGTTAAAGCATGGTGAAAATATTTCATTTAGCTTCCTTGATTTTCTAGGCAAAATAAACATAAACATGCTTTTGAAAGAATATTTTAAAGTAAAATCATGTGACATCACTTCTCGTAGCAATCAAGTCCTTATTTTCCCTTGTATCTTTGGATATTTTTGTAACTTTCCATATTCTTTAATTAATAAGCAAAACTTGAAATAGCTTAGAAAAGAATTTCTGAAAATTACTTGCTCTTCAAATATACAAAAACCTGTGTTCCTTTAGACATAATTGACCTATTGTAATAAGAAAAAAAGAATCTTAGCTGTAAAACTGAGAGCCATTATTCAAGAAAAGTTCATGGGGCTTGGGGTATTATTTAAATTGGAGCCAAATGGAACAATTGGCCATGGAGGGGTTAAAGCCATATGAAACCCTTCTGAAAGTGTATGACTGGGAAGGTTTATGGAAGGGGGATAAAAGTTTTTTAAATATACCCAGGAGGTCAGCAAGCAGCACGGAATGCTGGAGGTGGTAGAGGAGGTCAAGCAAGAGCAGCAGCCAATGCGAAGTTTGGCATGACTCTTGAAGAAGCAAAGCAAATCCTCAATGTTGACAAACTTGAGAAGGATGCCATAAAAGCAAGTTATGAACACCTATTCAAAGCTAATGACAAGTCCAAAGGTGGTTCATTCTACATTCAGTCGAAGGTGAGAACTAAGCAGTTTCAGACTGCACTGCTGGTTGTATTCATTAAACTATGTTTCACTGGGATTTTTTTTGTTATGCTTGAAAAAATATTTCTCTAAAACCATTACTCCAGGGGAGGGGCACACAACAACTTCCCTGGTGATTAAAGTAAGTTCTTGAGGAAATAATTTGTTGATTTGATAGTTCTGGTTGGATTTGTCCACATTTCATTTCCTCCTGCTGTACAGGATATCATCACTGATGGACCCTCTCATTTGTACAGAACATCCTAGGAAATATATCAGAAAGTGAAAGTTGCAGTTAGCTTTTGTCATATGAATTCAAGCAATCAAGGGAATCAAAAATCTGAGCAAGATTTTCCAAGAAGCTTGTGCAAAAGATTTGGGAAAGCTGATCATGATCTCAGAAGAATCACTACATTTAAAACTACACATTCCAGGATAGCTAAGTGAAAAATGCATTGGTATCATAAGCTGCTCTGAAAGTTCTTGCTTATATCCTGTCAACCCATGAAAATAACTTTTGCCTACTGCATTATTTTCTTGGGTATTTCCCAGGCTGTTCTGTACATTGGGGACTTATTGAACACCTCACATGGTGTAAAATTAAAAACCCAACAATAACTTATACTTTAATCAGATCATTTTATAATGGCTGTAGATACAAGGTGACCCAAAAGAAATGAAACTAATACAAAGGAGGATATTTTTCCTTCCCAATTTCATTTTAAAAAAAATCAACAATCTTTATTCTACCCTCCTTTTGCTTTGATACAAGACTACAAGGGCATAGACAGAAATGACAACATGCTTTTGAAGCATATTGTCTATTTCAGGAATAATATCCTTGCTTATATTTGTTGCATTTCTTTCAGGTAACCCTGTAAAACCAGGATATAAAATCTCATTTTTGCTGTCCATTGGTCTTTGTTCCTATTTGTCTTCTGCATAGGTGGTGAGAGCTAGAGAAAGGCTTGATCAAGAAGTTTCTCAAGAAACTTCAAAAACAGCGAAGGAGTCAACATCATGACAAAAGTGATTGCTCTTTGATGAGCAGCAAACAGTACCTAGTGTTCAATTTTGTTTCTAGGCATTAAGTAGAAGTATGTGAGGAATAAAAAATAACTTCTGTCTAAAGCTTTTATTTCCTTGAATACTTCTATGCACTAGGAGTGCAATATGAGAGTTACTCATAAACCCATGGTTCTGCTACAGGCTGCCAATCAACAAGTTCCTTCTCTGAAAACCATAAGGCAATCTCCTTCTTGCCACTCTCGACTGAATCTGAACCATGGACAATATTCCTGGAAAAACAATGGAAAGTCATCAAGCACAATCCATATAGAGTAACTTAACAACAGAAAAATACCTTACCTTCCCACTTGGATACAAAAATCGCCACGAATTGTTCCAGGCTTAGAGTCTGCAGGATTGGTTTCTCCCAGCATCATTCTGCCCATCTTCACAACATTTAATCCTTCCCAAACCTTAGAGATGATAAAAAAAACCAGATATTAGGAATGAATTATTCCTGCAAAAACAAGCAAATGAAGATGGAATGACACTTCATGCATGCATAGATGATAAATCATGCTTCAAGCAATGCTTTGCAATATACAGAAGTTAGTTTCTATTTCATCCTCAGGTAAAATCTAAATTTTATCACTTTCAAAATTTCATTATAATAATTCCTCAACACTGGAAGTGCATATATGCAGTAGTCTAGTTCATGGGTTCATTACATGCCATTAAAAATGGGCAATATGAAATACTATGGCATTCACATCCATGAATGCTCAATGTCAGGTAAACATCAGCCAAATGTGAACAATATTAAAGTGCAAATGTTGGAAAATCATGGCAGTTACAATGAAGTCATAATTACAATCAAGCCAAAAAAAAACCCTCTATCTTCTCATGCCTCAAATTACTCAATTGGGTTGGGTTTTAATCCTTATTGAGGAGATGACTCAATCATGATTTACATCCTCTGCTGCAACTGATTTGAGATTTCAACAGAACGAGGCAGTCAACCGTCTGCTTCTAAATGCTGGGGATTACAATTTTAGCTCCTCGGCTAGCATCAAGTAAGTCTATCACTAAAAGTGACAACCAAAACTGACTAGAGTCAACTGCATTCGGGGTGCTGCTATAGATATTTACAATGTTCTGGTTTCAGGATATACACTCAAGGATCAGAATTTACTTTGATTCAGCAGTGGATGTAACTGGATGTGCTCCAGGTGCTGATAAATAAAATGTATTTTAAATTTGATTTTACTTCTACTTCTAATGTCAGTATTTGCTGTGTTGAATAAATTCTTACTGGCACTCTGATGCACACAAATGAAATAAAAGGCAGTACACATGCTTACCATTGGAACCACAGGTCCAGATGACATGTATTGTACGAGGGCAGGGAAGAAGGGTTTGGAAGACAGTTCAGCATAGTGCTTCTTCAGGTGGTCCTCTGAAGCCTGTAAATGTGAGTCAAGCTGATGAGATGAATGGCTATTGATTTGAATTTAATGTACAGAGAATGAAGCAATACAGGTCAAGGCATACTTACAATTTAACTGTGAAAAAGTTATGCATTACTTCTATAATAATGAAAGGGAGCACCATTCAATAAAAGGTCTAAATTCCCAGCTCAGTTGAGGAATACATATTATAGCAAAATGCAGTGCCTAGACCTAATACCAACACCAACATTCACACACATCACACTAGTTATGCTAATCCTGTAGAGGAGGGGTGTCAAACTCAATAAGGATGGGGGCTACACCAATAAAATCAAATTTCTTACATCATACATTTTTAATACCAAGAAGTTGATGTTCTGTAGTGCCTTTTTGAAACTAACTGTTGAAGGAGGCTTCACGGGCTGGATGAAATCGACTGGAGGAACTGGATTAGGCCCACAGGCCTCCAGTTTGACACTTCTGCCCTAAAGTATGTTAAATTCATGGAATGAGTGACCGATACCATTGCTTTTTCCTGGCAACATAAACTGGTGAGACACCGAAGTATACATCTGACGGAGTTGGTGACTTGCCTGTACTCCACAATGGTATCATCCAGTGAGGCTCTTCATATGAGCTTTTTGGGGTTAGTTGCTCCATCATCTGAGGCCACCAAGCTTAGGGGGGTGTGATGGGTGGAGCACTAAAAACTCACCAACCATCACAACCAATGAATTTAGCAGCATGTAAAGAAAGTGCAATTGTCCAATGTTAGGTTTGTATTGAATTTAGTATTGTTGTTTGTCCTTGGTCATGCACTTCATTAAAGGAGCGAGAGTCAATATACCACAACTGCTACACCTAATGGGTGAATGCAGAAATCAAATTGGCCCAAACCAAACTGCAACTGACATGCATCATTTTCATGGCGACCAGCTTGAAGCCCTTCTGCTCGAACCTCTTGATGATCTCCCCAATGATACCACGATGAACCCCATCGGGCTTCACGCAAATGAATGTCCTTTCCTTAGTATTGGCCATTTTTTGGAGATCTGAAAGAAAAGGGAACAGGCCTATGCTAGTCAACAGGGCAGGGGCCTACTAGGCCTGGTTGCACACTCCTGCTTCACAACCTAAATTTAGGACAATAACCAAGGAACACCCAAGAAGTCCGCCAATGATGCCAGCACGAAACGTGGAGAGAATAACTGGAACTGTTCACAGAGCCCATTCCAAACAGAGGATTCTTACGGAACAGTAAGAGCTTAACTCACATTATGAGAAAAGAAGCAGATGCTTAACGTAGCTTACGCCCTACTATTCGGAAACACCGGGGACAGAGTTCGATCTCGAACTGCCGAACACGCATCAGGTGGAGGTGAGAGAGGACGAAGTGACGTCACGCGAAGGTTGCACGAGTGCGCGGCTCAATCTCTTGCAGGGTGGGGGGATAGTCGTTGCTTGCGTGATCAAGGTGAGTTTTCACATTGCGGAAAAAGCAATCATTTTTACTTTTTTTTTATCCTCCAAGGATATGCCGGTAATAAAGCTTGTGTGTAGAAAGAGGAATTGCAGGCAAGATAGGTTGCCTGAGCGAATCGTCATGGACGCTCTCTCTGCTCAGTGCTTTTTGCACATGGTGGTTTAATTTCAGATTAACTGACATATATCCAAATACATTTCATTCCAAATACATTACAAATACATGTATCCAAATACATCCGTACTGAATTCGTTATCCCTCTGAGTCCTCCCATCGGTTGCGGGCCACGACGTCTTCCAGATGGGTGGTTTCGTGGATCCTCAGGCAATTTTTTTATTTTCCTTTCTCTGTTAACCAGCGAGTTTAGGAATTAAATCCAAGAACTGTGGTACTAAACCTTTATTTTTCTGAAAAACAATTCTATCTTTTTTAAATGCACACTTGGGAAGTGTTTGAAGCTTTAAATTGGCATACGTGTTGCAAGGCATGAACACTTCAGGCTTTTAAGAACGTTATATAATGAAACCCACAACTGCGCATGACTACGTGAGAGTGTTTTCTCCTGTTCGGGATTTCTTCTTCAACATGTTCCTGTAGTTCATACAGTCATCGTGAAAGCCCACATCTCACTTGATTAATGATGATTTCATGAAAGGAAAGATTACAGAAAATTAATTTTGTGTGGCTTATTTATAACCCTTTAAGTTGGTTCCACTGCCGGACATAGGAAACGTGAAATTGCATCATTATCACTCACCTCAATGGTGCAAGGGCATATATGCCCCAGAATCGTTTTCCATTCCAAAAACGATTGAACTTTCTCTGCAGAAAAGTATCATACATACCCTTTTGTTCCTATTTGATGTATTTAGTAGGCTATAGTATTGTCACTTTCATGTTTTACTCTCAATCAGGGTGATTTTTCTGTGATGTATCTTCATTCCAATTTTTTCCATGCTGTTTCTTCATTTTCAGTTGTTGTGCAGGGGAATATTTTTGCAGCTATCTTGCATCAGGCCTTTGCTTGTTTGTGAGAAATGAGCTGTTTTTGCCAGTCATCTGGTGGGATGACAGTGCACCTCAAGCTGTTGATAATTGGTGGAACTTGCATTTTGATTGGTGGCATTTTCCTTGGCATTTGGGATCCTGTCTTCAACACCATAATGAATGACGTGAGTCATCAATAATTGTATTGAGCTAGGACCAATTAGCATTGAGTATACTCTCTCTCCAAATTTAATTTAATACAATAACATTATTAAGGTCAGCTTTTATTCAAGTACTACATGGGATAGGCAATTCCAATACAAGTCAAATTGCTAGTTTTACTCTAAAACTAAAAAACAAACTCTAAAAAACAAACACTGTGAAATATACAATTTTACTCAAAGAAATTTGTCAATTTTTTTCAAGGCAATCTGATATGCTCATATTGTATAATTTACTCGTTTCTCTTTTAGTCCCAATGTCCCCTTTTCAAGCATCTCTTCTACTCTTGGAACCTCACTTGATCTCTGTTAAGAGCAATGTGACTGATTCTGTTGCCTGTTTTAGTTCAAAGCAACCATGTGGAGGGGTTTGTGGGACACCCTGAACATTAGCTATTCCATCTGCATATAATTAGCTTGAATTTTGCAGCCTTTGATTGATGCCCATTATCTCTTAATCCAGTATTGTGGTTGATTGTAGCAACTGGTTCTGACAAATGGCTCAACAAGCTTTGACATGTGGTACAATATGCCAGTCCCTCTGCGCATGAAGTTTTTCTTCTATAATGTGACAAATCCTGAGGAGGTATCTCTTGGAGGCAGACCAAGAGTGGAAGAGCTTGGCCCATACACATTTAAGTGAGTCAACTGAATGCTACTTGCTAATCCTCCTTCATCTGTTCCTCAGGCTCATCAAAGGAAAAGTAGACCCTGTTGCAGTAGAATAAGGTGGTGATGTTTTGGTCATAGGGTTGTTTTGGTCAAACATTCTGAGAAGAAAAGAAGTTGCCATCGGCATGGTTGAATGTTCATCCTCTTACTTTCTCTTCTATCTATTGCAGAAGTATCTTGTGACACTTTTATAAATGTACCCTGCTCAAATTCAGTATGTCTGCCCTAGTCATATAGTTGATAGGCTAACCCATGAATTCCATGATAGGGCACCACCACAAATAGACTAACATGCTTTCAGTGATGCAGTACTACAGGGGAAAGAAAGGAGAAAAGCATGCAAAACTAGATATTCACGAAGTCACTGCCTTCTGAAAGGATCAGCAGAGCATGATAGTGGAGAATTCGTTACGGTGTCTTGGGAGATGTAATCATGCAGAGATGTTTACATTCTTATTTATGAAAATATTGTTCCTTTGCTTGTGTCTTAGATTTTAAATTGCAATATGGAATTGAATTGAATGGAATATATGTGGTTGTTGTGAAAAGAATAATACTTTGCTGCAGTAAATGTCAGAAGCAATGGAACTACACCCTTGTCATGTCTGATAGCAACCCTGATTCCCTCAATTGTCAGTTGAACCCTTTTGATACTGCATTCAATTACCACTCAATATACTCAAAATACCACTCAATTAGCCATTTTAAAGCATCCAGGAATCCAATTGAAGGATTCTTATATGACTCAAATGGGCCCATGATGGTGTGAATTAGGTATATCAATTCCAACAGTGTTATTTCTGACTTCGTGAAAATTACATATATCCATCCATTCTGGGTAAAGTGATAAGAAAAAGCATCCAAGGAAATTGCAATGTTATTACATGTAATTAAAAAAGACCAAAAAAGTGAATAAAATAAAGCTACCTTACCCTAGAGTCAGTTCACTCATAATAAACTCTTTTTTTGCACAGCATCCACATTTGTGAACATTTCTTTAAATTTCTTTTCAACTCCAAACTTTTACTCTGACATCATTTCCATATTTGCATATATCTTAACCATCACAATAAAATTAGATACAATTTACCCTGTCCCTCTCCAATGTCTACTACATACTTTCTTTTATGACATCTGGTGGCCAGCCATTGGTGGGGGTCTCTCTCATTTTTTAATTTAGTATATAAAATGATTTTTGGAAAGGTGGTGCTCTGGAATACATTTCTGAGAGCCCACTTACCTCTGGACATTCCTCTTATAAGGAATTCTTTCAGATTATACATTTTTGTAATGTTTTCATAGTGTTCTGTTTTAGGACACATATTTCATTGTGTCCTGTTCCATATGCTCATGCAGGTTCATCCCCTCAATAAATTTAACTGAATAT